AAAAAAAAAAAAAAAATTGAAATTGTGAGGAAAGAGATACGTCATCTTCAAGTTGATTATTGTAATAATTTATAGAATACGGAGAGATGATTCATAAGATATTGTAATGAAGATGATGTCTAGAGTTTTAAACAACATGAACTTTTTCTAGAGAAATTCTGTTCAAGTTATTCTAGCAGAATGGATAGATGTATTAATATTTTTCCTAATGCTAGATGGAAACATTAGGAAACAGAACAATTCAGACGTTAAAAATTAATTAAAAAGTTAAAGTGCCTTTTACCATTATGGAGGCCAATATTTTTAAAAAACGAACTCTTTTTTCTAAATTTAGTCAAGTTAGTTTTTATTTATAGCTAGCACTGCTCTTAAAAAATACCTTTCATCAACGTTTGTATCTTCAGTAAGCATCTAAGTAACTTTCTTAATATACTAACTTTTCACACAGTTGAGAATCCTTGTTTATGATTGATTAAAGGTACATTGTTATTTTTATAACTTTTTTATACATATAAAGAGTATTACAACTTTAAAATAGTGATTTTTTTCTGATATTTCCAGAAATATTAACCAGAAATTAGAAAAGTAATTAGACATTTACACATTATCTTACAGTAGTATGAATTGGGTCCCAAAATGAAGGTTTTAAAAATTGTCTTTTACAGAATACCAGGAAAAACCTACATGATAATAGCTTTTCTAACTGTGGGTACTATGGGGTTATCAAACACTTCCTTGGGCTACCTGAATTATCCTACCCAAGTCATCTTCAAGTGCTGCAAATTGATTCCTGTTATGCTAGGAGGAGTTTTTATTCAAGGTATAGTAATGATATATTTTCATACTATTTGAAACTAATAGGATATGTTACAGCTTCTAGCATTAGGAAAAAACATTAAACTTCTAATATTTTTAATGAGCATTCCAGATATTGTAACAATTCTGAATGATATAAAAATAAGATATTGTAAAAACACCGATACCTCTCTAGTGTACCTTAGTATCTGAAATCAATAATCTGGACTTGGGAAAAACAAAAAATAGGATTTTGTTTTATTTTTTTATTTTGGAATCTACTACATTTCCAGCAATACTAGATTTACATGCTGAAGGCCTAGGTCAAAAGGACCTGGAAGTTTCCTTTTTTCAATTCTTTGATTCTTCTACTCTTCAGGGCTCCACACTCTACCTCCACCGTGCAATGGCAGTTCTCATATTGAGGCACAGCTTAATCTGAGTAGAATTGCATTTTTAGTAACCTGCTCGCTTATTAATGTCTTAGAGCCCCAGCTAAGTTGTAAGCTATGTGGAAATACGAGTAAAAGAGGAGGCCACGATAGCAGCAAGCAGTGGAACAAGTTTTTGTTGTTCATATTAACTGTCAAGACGAATCTTCATGTTTTAATAATCGATTGTTTCTTTATCACTGAAGTTCTTATACAACCTGATTTCATTTTATATATCAGATGCCATCCCAAAATAAGCCTTTTACAAC